GAAAAATCTTGCAATGATTGGCTCAAAGATATATCCTGTTATCGGGATTGGAAGAGTTTGAGATTTACCATCGACTAAGTGCTTCACTTTAATTTGCGGAAAGGCCTGAAGATACTCATTCCTTTACACATTCTCAGTAAAAATATTTAAGATTAGAGACAGTAAATTCTAAGTGAATCACAGAATTCTGTTAATTTATTCATAAAAGTGAACGCTATGCGTCAGATAGTGTCCCAGAATATTACTATTAGGTAACCTAACTATCAAATGGCTGCGAGATTAAATTCAGACACTAATAGACGCTGTAGACAATCAGCTGGGTTATTTCAAACCGTCAATCTACTGTTTCTTTTTATTTAAGTTCCATACTAACAGAGTAGGCATGTATTCATCTGTCGAACACGGAAGAAAAATTTTCGATTGAAAATAAGTGGTACTAAAATAGTTATTAGTAGGATAAATATAACGAAAATTTATGCTACGGTAAGAATAAGAAAAACAAAGGTATTTGAAATGCTTAGACGACTTTTTACATGAATTCTAAAACGTTTTGTACCAAAGTTGAATTCATTTACACCAAATTTACAAATTTGCGTGTGAGACACTAGCAAAATTCGATATTTGCAAGAAATAAGCACAAACAGTCGAATACATCAGTAAAGTTGCCATCAAATTTCAAATTCAAGAAGATATAATTTGTGGCTGAAGACCTTGTCGCAGCAATTGAATCTCTTTAGCTAGAAATGTTTACACTTAAAACAGAATAAGCATATTAGTTTTCAGCTTATGTATCGTTGACAAAATTAAATAGCTGGAAGGACAAGAAAATGAGAAAACTCGTACAGTTTTAGGCCACACTAAAATTTGAAGAAAATCGTCCAATATACTGTATGATCATGCAAAGTTATCATAGGAGAAAAATTCATTTGTCCGTGATGATTTACATGCATAAACATTGTGATCTGAAGCCTAAGGTCGTTTAAAAAACGCGCTGTCGAACGTAAGCACACAACAAATCTAGAGGCTAATGTAATAAAAAAATATCGATTAAAATAAGTACTACTAAAACAGTTATTAGTAGACTAAATATAACAACTATTATTATTCAGCAAGAAGAACAAAAAAACTGTATGAAGAGCTTTAACGAATTTTGTTATGAATTTGAAGACATTCCTGTACCAAAGTTGGCATTTATTTACACCAAATTTAAAAGTGTGTGGGTAGGACGCAGACTGAAATTTTAGTTTTTGCAAGAAATAAGTATAAACAGTCGAATAGATGAACTGAATTTCCATCAAATTCAAAAATAAACAAGACACAAGTTGTTACTGAAGACTTTGTCACAGCAATTAAATCTTTTCAGCAAAAAATGTTTACGCTCGGAGCAAAATAAATATTTTAGCTCTCAGCTTATGTGTAGCTGACAAAATCAAGTAGCTGGAGGAGAAGGAAATGCGAAAACTTAAAATTGTCTGTCGCACTAAAATTTTTAAAAATCGCCCAATATGCTCTACGTTAATGCAAATCTATCAAAAGAGGACACTTCGTTTGTCTGTGATGATTTGCAAGCACAAGCGTTGTGAGCTGAAGCCTAATGGCGTTTAAAAAACGCGCTTTCCAACGTAAGCACACAAATCAAGAAGCTAATGTAGCAAAACTCGTTGATTGAAATAATGGCTACTAAAATAGTTGTTAGTAGGCCGAATATAACGACAACTTTTACTTCAGTAAGAAGAACAATAAAGCCACATGAAGAGCTTAAACGAATTTTGGTATGAATTAGAAGACATAGTTGTACCTTAGTTGGCATCAATTTACTTCAAATTTGAAAGTGTATGAGTTGGACGCGAGCTAAAACTTTGATTTTCGCAAGAAATAAGTACAAACAGTCGAATACAGGAGTTGAATTTCCATCAAATTCCAATTTCAACAAGATTTTTTAGCAAGTAATGTTTGCACTCGAAACAGAATGAATATTAAAGCTGCCAGCTATGCATGGCTGACAAAATTTAAGTAGGTGGAAGAACAGCAATAAGAGGAAAATCGTACAGTTTTCTGTCACACTGAAATTTAAACAAATCGTGCAGTATACTCTACGTTCGTTCAAAGTTGTCCTTTGTCTGTGATGATTTATATGCATAACTTTGTTATCTGAAACCTATTGGTGTTTAAAAAACGCGCTGCTCTATTGGGGCTATTTTAACAAACGGCAACTTAAAGGAAGACCAGATGCGGGTCTATAATTTCAAGGTCAACATGGTTCTATATTTATTATTAGCTTCACCTGCAAATACTCGGGTTCACTTTCCTGCTCTCATCATATTCTTTCAACAGCACACTTTGACAGGCTGGAACAGAGTCACTTTTGTCTTTCTTGACTTCATCAGCGATTTGTTTAACATATGGCGTAAAATTCCCAGCAGAGATCATGCAATATATAATTTTAAATGGTTACTTAAAATGTTTAAGTAGAAACTACATTTTCACCTCGCATTTTGAAGCAGTTGTAGTGAATCGTGTTGATTCACGTTAAACACCCAGTCGTCGCAGCCTCACACATGTTTCCCCTGTTCACAACCTGCCCGTCTGTCACGTAAGACCGCTAGTTCATCACCCCGCTGAATGTACCATCACCACCACCACTTCCCGCATTGGTCATGTGACCTCACAAACGCCTGTGTTCATTTACATGTCCAACTCAACTGTACACGACACACAACGTGGTTGAGCGGTCTAGTAAACGGTTGTGCCTTCCCCACTCCGGTCTTCTATATTTTTGCGGGAATGCAGGGTAACGTATTCGGCGTAGATAATCGCATTGGCCCCGGCATGGTTCAAGACAACATGCCGGGGCCCTCAACACAGTCCTCAATGAGCAAATTGTTTCTGCGCATTAGCAATGTTTTTGCAGGTGAAATTACACTAAATGTACATCCAGTTGTAAAGTCCAAAGGGGTTGAAAGTGTCTTAAAACCGGCACTCGACTAAACCACCACAAAAAAACGTGTTTAAGAAGTGGAAAGATGCCTAAAAATTAATGAAGTTGGTGACTCATCCCAAATTAACCATTTAATTGACGTCAAAAGGGTTACCCACAAAATGCACTAGTTCTATAATTGTATTGTCAAAATTGTTATTGAAAGATGCAGGACCAAGGTAGGTCATTTTCGAGATACAATTACTGTCCTCTTTTGGACGCCTTCAATAAATACTTTATTTTGTGCTGGATTGAGAATATTGTGTGTTGGATTGCCACTGATGGCGACATGCCACGTATCAAGTGACACTTTGGCAATATTTTTTAGGTAAATTCACGCGCAAGTCTTACGTGGGCGTGTAGCTAGGACTTTTGTACGATGACAATTTGGTCTCAACAACAAGGTAACTCCGGTAGCAAAAATCAACACACAACTGTCGTATAAAATGCATTGAATTTATTTCGAGACAATTACCTCCATGCGATCAAGATTTGCAGCTGTTCCATTTTCAGACCTTAACTTTAGCCGTTTAATTCCAATTACCACGCCTTTTTATTGTTTTACTTCTCTACGTCGCACTTAGAAGTACTTCACGTGCGTGTCCACAACGTCAAGGTCATTGTGTAATGTAATGTGGCGACGTATAGGAGCGCAGACATATTAGACCACGCTAACCTCAGCCAATCCGCTGTCTCTCTTCGATCCAATTGCATGCGAGGAAGCTAGGCAGCCAACCAGAGACAGTATGTAATGAGCGGCGTAGCCAGAGTGATGGACTCGGATGTACGTCACCTGACATGTGGTTCTGGCTTGTGATTGGTCAGTAAAGCCTGTTCTGTTGCATCAGTCATCTTCCTATTAGGGCTCGGGCATTCTACAGCAATGCCTCAGTAGGGAGCAGACATATTGGATCACGCCGAGCTCAGCCAATCCCCCAAAATCTGGGCTATTGAATTACCTGTGGTGAAGATTAGCAGTCAACCGGAGACAAGGATGAAGAGGAAGCACTACATAAGGACCGGCGCATGCAGCTTAGTTAATTCGGATAGATGGAGCCTGACGTACAGTTCCGACATTTGATTGGTCAAACAGGCTTGCTCTGTTGTACAAATTTCCCTCATACTTGGGCTCAAGTAATCCTCGATTCTGTTGTTACTGGAACTTTGGCTGAGACAGCAAAAGTTGTCACAACTTATCCGGCATGGAGATGTAAATTTCCAAGCGTAGATAGTCAAGACCTTGATTGGCACGTCAAAGGCTTCGCGGAAGTAAAGACAAGTTTTTGCGTTTCAGTCAAGAGTGGAGACACAGCGTAAGTTGAGTGGATGTTAGCGTAAACAACAACGATTAGGCGTGACTGCATGTGGTCTCAAACCGACAAGCCGTATCAAGCAGTCAGCAGTTGTTTGTAAAATCTTTGAGCGCACTCCCAAAGCATCACAACACAACCCGGTGTCAGCAATGTACGGACGAAAATGCGAGTGAAAATAACTCCACGGAAGGATTCTACAATTCAGAAAACCTACATAACTACCCGTGCATCTCCTGGAGAATGTCCTAAGTACAGGGTAAAGACAGGTATACTTTGCCCCCACGCTCTGGCTGCCGACTGCTTTGTAGATCTCCAATGGAAACCTCGATTAAACGCAAACTTGGATTCACCCAACTACCACCGTCACAGAAAGCGAAGAAACAGGGCTTTGGGGCACGTGGCCTTCTAGAAATGGTTGGTGGGGCCGTGGAAGGCAGTTAACGCCAAATTTGCACATCTGTGAGGCCTAATTTAGGTGTGACTAGGCCAAAACCAGCGAAACGCCCGTGTCTAGCAGAGAACCGCCTAAATCAAACACCATCTCGTGGTTAAGCGGTTAGGCGGCAATGCCGTGGCCTTGAAAGGCTTTCAAAGGTCAGATAAACAAGAGCGGTCATTTGTATTAAATATTAGTTCAGGGAGGCGATGGAGATGGATGGTCTTGAGAGGGGGACACAAACACACACACACACACACACACACACAATTGTTCACGGGAGGCGAGGCGAAGCGGGGGAGAGATGAAAGATGCGAGGTGTACAAGAGGTGGGGGAGGGGGCGGCTCGAACGCCAATCAGAAACGCAGCGGCGGCGGCGGCGACGACAACCTGAATAGACAGCGAGCGACAGATGGGCGCTGGTCCTGGGGACACCGGCCTCCTCCCACCGACTTCTACACTGACGGCAGACCTGCGCGGGCTCGACACTGGTACACGGTGGCGCGCTGCACAAACTGATTGCGCGACTGGTCCCGCACAGCCTAACAAAAAAACACACACGTGGAGGGCAAGAAGGATATGTCGTGAACTGTGCTTATTCAACCCCTTAATCCGGTCGCTCCACCTCCTACACAGGGTTCCCCTTTTCGCGGCATGTCGCCAGCCGCGCGAATCCTCTACTCTCCCGTCATTAGCACGAATATTTATCTTGGAGTATCTCCTCACCTAGGTCTCGATGTTAGCGCATGTATGACTCACACACCCGAGGTATAAATACACACGTGCAAACCCCAAACACGACACAACTACACCAACGTGGTTGAACTCTAAAGCAAACGGTTGTGTCCACGTCCTCTCCGATCGCTTTCTTCACCGCGGGTATCACGCAAGCGTAATCGGGCCAGAGTTAATTCCGTGGCCCCGGCGCGGTTTACGACCACATGCTGGGGCCCACAACAGGTACTAGATTAAAATTAGCAGACTAAATTTAGTCGAATTAATACGAAGGGGCAAATGCGGCATTGGCAGCAACCAATCAGGTGAGCGCACGATCAAAACGGGACTTTTCCAACCACAACAAGCCTCGACACATTAAATCTGCTGTTCTATTAAAATCTCCGCTACAATGAGTCTACTCTAACCACAAAAATTGAGAAGTTGTCCATGAGTTTTCAAGGCTCTTGTCTAAACCAAGGATTTCAATAATAGCAACAGCCACGAGTGCATTAAATGCCACCAACTTTGCCGATTTTAGATGACCTAAAGTATTCAGACAATTGTCTGTCGGCGCAGCATATCCAGACCACCGATTCGAGAGCGAAAAAGCGCGCACTTTTGGTCTAAAAACAAAATGAAGGAAACACACATGGATGCCTTCTTGGACTCACCTTAAGAAAGTCGTCTGGCTCTATTGCGCCGTTCTCGAGGGCCTGCGACAGGTAGTACAAAACATCGCCGATCGCCTGCTCCTCTGCGAAAGCCTCGAACAGCCTGAAAAAAGCAGAAAAACCCACGTGCATGTTTGTGGAAACACAGTCTGTGGGACATGGAGGTAAAAAAAGTTAAAAAACCTTTAAAATCCCGCCTAGTTTGCATAAGATTTACCATTTACATCACAATCTACCTGTTGTTTGAATCCAGATTCCAACTGAGCGCCGCTTACAACTTGTCCAATGACCGAGCGATGCTCATGATGCGCGCCATCAGAAATGGCCAATCGCGATGCGTTTACAGTGTAACATTTATTGGTCACTCCGGTCACTGTCTTAATATTTACTCTTTAGGATAACATGAATACGTTGGCGAAAGTTCGAATGGCAGCATCGTCTTCACGGATCAGACCGTGATTAGGCGCGAAGTTTGTTGTAAGCCCTAACGTTCAGTTTGCTCTTGGCTTAGATGCTCCGTACTTGCACACACACACACGCACACACACAGAACCAAATTAACCTGGGTACCTTCATCTACAAAACAACTACACGCTCAACTGATGAAACTGCCAATTTGTTATTGTTGGAGGAAAAAAAAACGACACGTTTTGAGCGGACGCCCACAGATTGAACCGTCTTTTTCGGTTTCTGTGAAATGATCGAGGACGCCTAGAAACCGGAATCCCGAATTTACGCTAACAACTAAACTTTGAGACAAGACGCAGCGATACAAACACGTCATTTTTGCAAGCTCAGTTGTTTTACTGCACTGCAACTCGCGTCGCGCGTCACTTAAAACTAGTTAGACCAGTAGGCTTGTCTTCGAAGGTAATCTGTTGGTGCGTATGTAAGGCCAATTAATGCTTGCTGTTTTATCAATCTTATTAGTAAAGTTTACGAAGAGCTTGGTAACAAAAAGGAGGTTGCTCGCGCCGACTCTAAACGTTTGTTTTTAAACATGCGATTACTTCGATACAGGTGCGATCGACTAAACCGCAACACAATAGGCGACAAGCGAATTCAAAAAAGCAGGCGACAGGGAATTGTGCTACGCACGAAGTCGCTACAGGGAAGTGGCAGATTTATGCACCAAATTCGACAAGTTGACTGGCGATCAGCAGCCAATGGCTGTCTTACTGAGCAGGCATGGTGTCTAAACACACACGCGGCCACAGACGCATAGATTAGTTTAAGAGCACAACAAAAATTAACTGGGAGCGTGTAGCCGAACCGAATTCCAGCGCATGCTTGGAAGGGGCTAAAATAGGTGTTTGGATCGATGGACCTGTACTTTAGCCCGATCAGACTGCGCCAATGCGAACGTAGCTTTGCATAGCGGGCTAGCGAAAAACACATTTACCGGAGAAGCCAATGGTGTTAAATTTATCAGGTAATCAATAAAGGGACCCAATCGTTATACATGGTGCTGGAGCATCCAAGCAAATGGCGTTGGAGACCTGTTGCAAAGCCATTGCGAAGATTGTTAAACACAGCACAGATTAAGGGTAAAAAAAACTATACCTTTTACGAATTCTTGAAACAATTTAAAGGGAGGGGTGAAAATTGCAGTTAAAATCCGGACAAATGATCGACAGATCGGGTAGTGTGACGAGTAAATGGAGATTTTCTGACATGGTTGAAGGGACGCTGTTAAATCCTGCTTCAAATCAATGACTGATACACAAAGCCAAACAAAATTGGAAGGCCAGTGAGGACAACAACACCAACGACAATTCCCTCGTCTGGTGAGTCATTTGTACCACTGCGAGTTTGCGAATTGCAAAGAATGACAGATAGACCAAATGTTGTCTATTCAATCCACCTAGTGTGTAAAGACGAGAATTTAGGACAACTTGTGTGTTTTTTTTGTAGAAATGACGCTGCAAAATGCATGATTAGAGGGTTGAAAGGAGGTAGTGGAAGTGCGGAAGGCGAAACTCCCACTACGAATTTGCAGGCGGACACAATGAGGGAGTGGTCGGGGGAAAAAGAGAAGCAAATGAAACAAAGTTGAGAGGCGCACCGGAGCACCGTACAGGACACCGCCCACTAGCGCATCAACTGTGTTCGCGGTAAGTCGAAGAGTAACAACGAGAGAAGGCAGGAATGTGGTGGCTTGTGAATTAACTTCGTAGAGGACCCTCTTTGGACGAAATGTTCAATATTCTAACTCACTCAAAAACGGATGTCTTTTAGTTACCTCTCGGTGTGGAAGAAATTACGTGAATTGAGTTACTTTTATTAGGAATTTCTGCTAGCTAGACACAATCAAACCGGCTAAATTGAACAGTATCTCATTTTAAACACGACAACCAGTAACTGGATTTAGGAACGACAAATACAACGGCGCCACCTACACTGGGAATCCATGTTGTAGCATGGCGATTCGACAACTTGCTTGCGCGAAATCCAACAGTGTCAGCGACATGTGTAGGAAGTCTTCGTGTGCTTTCCAAGACCACAATTTCAGGTATTTTACGGTAAACATTGGAAATGGAAGAAGCGATTTGGTGGAGGGATACTTGAAACAAAATCAACTCGAGACAACACAAAAGAGTCAACAGAAAACGCATAAGAACAAGGAGACTTCAGCCGAATTTGACAACTAGCTGATCGTTCCGAGGCACTTTGGAGAAGTACTTAGTACGTGCACGAGATGGTGTTCAGTGACAGTGAAACCAGACAAGGCAAATGCACTACTATAGGCACACGGGTTTGATGGCCATTAAGTACGGTGAAAAACCACATTTTGGGACGAGTAAAGGTTGTTCTGTTAGTACTAAACAACTGATTTTCGAAGCGAGGAGTAATTTGACTTCCCTTCGATGTACCAATTCGTAGCTGACGGACGCCTGCAGTCATGCTCGTGCAGATTTGTTCAAAGAGCCGGAAATTCAATGTAGTTCAAAGTATTTTCAACATTTTGAGAAAAAAACAGCCGAAATCTAGCCACTTACTGGCTTATGCAGGTCTAATTCAACACCCTTCTTCACACCATTGTTACGAAAAAAATTAAATGCAATTTTCTAAACCTTTACAACATAGACAACACAACGAAAATTCGACCAAACCAATGCATTGCAAAGCATCGGAGAAATAGCGACATTCACACACACACAACTTGTATATATTTCATAAATATTTAGGAAGCTTCGATTTTGTAGTTGGGGTGCTAGTTCGGGACGAGAGATGCCAATCTGTTAGCTTATCGAAGGTTTTTATCCGCGTACTCTGGTGCATGGGACGCGCAAAAAGGGTTTTAAGATCTCGATCAGTTCCGCCACCCGGTCCAAAGGTTAGAGTCAAACAATTTGCGTTTCCTAAAACGGCATTTTGCAGGCCAGTGGTCTAGAGTTTCGAGGCCAAACAAGTAGCACATGCTCGGAGTGCCTAAAAATATGCTGCTTTCGGAAGTGGGGAACCATCAGATTAGTAGTATGTGAAATTAGCATCACAGTGGCCTTGCAACAGAAAAAATTAAACAGAAACAAACCACACAAAATTGGATTTGTTTGATGGATACCGTCAGTTAGGCCAGCTATACTGAAAGCGTCAGGGTTTCGGCTGCCCTGAAGGCAAGGTGTTAAGGCACAAACGTACTGGCGGTAGACGGGTGTGGTGGTGTCGACGACAGAATCGTAGTCCACCTTCCCATTAGCCTCCTGCTTCAGCTTCCGGTAGACCTCCTTGTACTCCTTCGTCTTCTCCTCCAGTTCGCGCGTCAACGACTTTATTTGCTCCTAAAAGCAGCAGAACAGATAACACACACCATCGACTCGAGTGAGCCAATCATGACAAATCCCTTTGGGTCACCGCCGACCCCCCTCCCCCCCCCCCAGTCAACCCGTGTCAGGTAGTTTGGTGCGGGCATGAGCATGGAGCGTGATTAGGGAGCCTCAAACACAGATATCTACAAATCAGTAAAAATTGTCGTGGGCCCCACCATGTGGTTTTGAACCACGCCGGTACCGCGGGATCGACCCTTGGCCCGATTACGTTTCCCTGATATCCGCGATGAAGAAGATCGGAGAGGACGTGGACACAACCGTTTACTCCAGAGCTGCACCACATTGGTGTCGTTGTGTCGTGTGTGCGGGTCATACAAGCGCTAACATCGGCACCTAGGTCTGAGGATAATACAAGATAAATATTTGTGCGAATGAGGGGGGAGTTGAGGATCCGCGCGGCCGGCGACATGCTGCGAAAAGGGAAACCCTGTACCGGAAACTGGAGCGACCGGATTAGGGGGTGTGAATAAACACGACTCACAACAAAATCAACGGAAGGGGAGGTGTGCTTTTTTTTAGCGTCAAGAAGAACTAACCAGCTCGGAGATCATCTGTGCCCGGATGGTGTCCAGATTGTCGCCGCGGGTTAAAAGGTCGCGCTGGGTGGCCTCGAGGGACTGCACTTCGCAGGTCAAATTCGCCACTACCTCGCGCTGCTCGCGATTCAGCTTGTCCTGCACCGCCGACCTCAGCGACGATATCAGCGCGTCCTCCTCAGACAAGGCAGCTATTTGAAAACAAGGGCCCGGGAATGAAGACCGCTCCAAATTGCATTTCGTCAAAACAATCGACTGGCCTTGGATGCAACCTTTAATCTGCACAAACCAGTTTACTTCTCCGACGCAAAACACACACACACATAGCAGGCCGGACGTAAGGTGCATGTCCTCGCAACAGTGTCTCTCCTCAAACCATTGTAAGTGCCACTTCCATGCCACGCGCTGTTTTTGCACACACCGTTTTTTTCAACAGTTTTGCTAATCCACCACACTGCCTATTGGTTGACTGACGCCATCGGTAACGCAGGAAAAAAATAGGACTCTCGGCGTTACTAGGGTTAGAAGTAACCGCACAAAACAGTTAGAACCACAAACGAGGCAGTAAAACACACAAGTGGTTGAGGTGAAAACAGTTTTCGTGCCTAGTTTGCCCCCGTAGCCCGCGATGGAGCGACAAAAACACGGGAAGCACTTTTGCCTAAGTGGTGTCTTCGAGGCAGTGCGATTCCTAATGGCTTTTACTGCGGTGCTAAATATAGACAAGAGCCAGGAGACAGCATTGTTTTGAGGGACGAACAGAAGACAGCGCCCTTGTTAGAGTTTTAACAATAGAAAACACGACAACAAAGTAACTGAAGATTATCCAAACAAATAACATGTAAGCCTAGGCTATTATTGACCTCGACAGTGGCCAAAGGCTAGCGTAGAAAACCGAAATGCAGGGGGTAGATTACCCGATTGTTAATGAATGAAGGGCGCAAACACAAAAGCAGGTATTTAATGAGGTGCCAATTCGAAGCATGGAAAACATGAAAAGTGCATCCAGGTAAGTGTGCTGCGTGAAATCAATCAGGAAACTAGACGTAGGTAACATTTATTGCACTAATTTAGTTCAAATAAACAAACTCATGGAAAAGTGATCAGAGCACGAGACAGTACGTCGATTCTCCAGCATGGTGTGAATAGTGACATGGTCCTACGGCACTGGCTTTGTGGATCGAATCACACAACACCGTCTAACACTCACTAAGAGAGGGATTGACGGTGAAAATGACAGCACAGGCCTTTGGGGTGTGCCTCAGCCCCATGAGGAATTGAGAGTACTAAATGAGCATTTTAAAACCAGGCTGAGCATTTTGACAATGAAGCTCAGGGGTACTCCGCTTTTAAGGAAAAAAATTTTTTTGATAGCATTACGAAAACATGTCGTTGTGAGAGGCAAATCCAAGTAAACGATCAAATAAAACCTAGCACACAGTACTTATGGCAACAATTGGTACCATTGTCTAATTTAAGTTGCCGTAGCGCGATAGCATTCAATAAGCGCCATTGGATCACAGGAAGCAAACAAACACCGAAGGAAATACAAAACCTCATGAACTAGTCAACACCGTGATGATAAGGGACAAATTACGCCGATCCGAGGTGTCAAGGTGGCCCCCTAGGCTGACCTGAACCCTTTCAGGGCCGCAGACGACCACAGACCAATCAGAAAACGATAGAAACGGTTCAACACGACACAGGCGTCTTTGACTTGCGACGTGACAACGCAGGTTGTGCAAGAGTCTGATGTCCTGGGCAATAATCACTTCGGAATCAACCACACACAGACAATAGTGCTTATTAGGATATAACACGGCACTAATCAGGGTTAGTTATTGAAAGAAAAAACACCCATGGCTGGAAGACAATGAAGCTTAATGTTCTTCTATGGCCCTATGTCAATTTGCACATACTTTACCCGTTCAAAGCGATAATCTAACCCAGTTTTAAGGGTTTATGACCAAAGAACTTGAACAATCCACAAGATATGAAAGCAGACCAAGAAAACGTAGGACGCGCAGCGCCTTCAATTAGAAAAAAACACACTTGAAGGCGCATTCTTGTGCATTAACACAGGCGGTTTTGGTAACAGTGGGCTAATTCTATGCGGTGTAGCCCGCTGAAGACTAATGAGACGGAGTGAACAGATGCCACACGAACTGGCAACCGCTAAAGAGCATCAAAAGCTTGTGTGGTGCTCGTAAAATTAGTCAACCGGAACAAGATGCGAAGCAAAATAAAATCACACGCCCACACTCATCGACCTGTAGTCAATAGTGAACCACACCTACACCGATTGAAGAAACGTGTAATTGCTGCAATGTGAATTCAACAAATTGGCAATGACGTTAGATTTTCAAAATATAGATAATGCTACGCTTGTGGGTACCTTACATGGAGATTGCATGTTTACTTGCAGCTGTTAGAGTTACAAACGAGCATCACATATGGACACATAAACAAACAGTTGAAATTCACTTCACGTGTTTTGGACACGTCAGGAATTAGGATATTTGAAAAAAAGGGACTTAACACAACAATCGTAAACGTAAAAACGGTCTATTTAAGAATAGATCACGGAAAATTGATCGAGCATAGTGGGAGAGTCTTGTGGCATTTGCACACACCACCTCCAGTGCGTCATCGGGTTAAACCCATTGCGTCAGTTAGTAAAACTAAGCATGCTAAAACCACAGTTAGCAATGGCTCCCTTGACAACGCCCACCCATACATTCAAGTGGCATTCGCGCTAGGGGCACCATTGCTTACTGCGTTTTTGTGCAAGGAAGTTATGATATATGCGAGTGGAGGCGACTCAGTCGGTTATGATGGAGGAAAGGCGTTTGGTCATCAACGCGGACACGATTAAACCTCGCACCACGTAATTTGAGTCAACACGACAAAGCCTTGTGCTGTGACCCAAAGTCCCATTGCCTGTTCGGTGTTGCTAGGTTATTCGATGCGATAATAAGGGCAAGAAATGCCGGGTAGCGCATGAATGGCATCAACAAGCAGAAGACGCCTCGTGGAACGCAATAAGCCCAAAAATCTACGAGTGCTAATGCTGCATTACTCATTTGCTCGAAGAATATCTACAGGTCAAAAGGCATGTCGAAACTGAGATCTGTGAGCCCGATAAGAGCGATTCTAACCCAAACAAAACAATCAGACAGGGCATATAGTAGGTCCATAACGAGGCAAACATCCGGTCTAGCTGGTGTACTGACATTCCGTAACCCCATTTTACAAAGTCTGATTTTAAATCTGCAAGATGCAAATTTTGGTCTGTGCGACAGGTAAGCACAGTGCACCGTGATTGAGCCCACAGAACCCGAAAGTACTACCTTTACTAGAAACTGTGGATCCGGCGGCGGCAGCAGCAGCAGCCAGGTAGGGAGAAGTCGTGGTTGCAGAGGGTATGGGCGGCATCGCGTTGAAGGCCGAGTTCGGTGGCATGGATGCGGCGGCTTGAGTCAGGGCAGTGGTGGAGCTGGGCAGACCAGGCATCGCTCCCCACCCCGCGCCCGGCACTCCGTAGCCCGCGCCGTTCGGCGGCGTGTCTGGAAGAAAAACGTCACGTCGCTAACTCGAGGCAAAGCTCTAAGCTGACGCCAGGGGCTCGAATAATTCGACTTAATTGCAGTGATTGGCGTCCCTTTGAGAAGACTTTGGATCAGAAGAGGGTGATTTGGAAAGATGCCCTTTTGACAGAAAGTCGAGGGGCACAGAACACGAAAAAACGTGAGCACTGTGGCATAGATTAACCACTGACCAGTCGACTTGCACGTGAGGCCAACAGTGTGAGATTTAAATGCGGTAAAAACATGTGAATTTAAGTGAAATCGAGTTGCTTGCAAAAATTCCAATTTGCAGACACTTACATTGAGTGTGCGTAGAACACACACTAGTTACTAACTACATAAACGGATATTAAGGAGGTCCGTCATACGATAGTAACTGAAGCCAAGGCGCAAGCACAAAAGTGCACGCGCAAAATAGACAACAAGCCTGGGGACAGGCAGCATATTTTCATCGAGGGGCGTGAACAGAGAAGCAGACATTTAAAATGGTGCAAATTTGAAGCACGGAAAGATGGCAAACGCATCACGCAACTGAATTGCACGAAATCAATCGGTAAACTGGATCTACATAGTGCATATCTCACAGGAAATAAGACAGTAAAGTCAACCAATCAATGAGGGAACGAGACAGTGCCGGTTGTTGTTTAAACAGCCATCGATTCAGCAGTCATGAGTAGAGGCAACAGCCAACACGACGACGTCTAATTTCATAGTCTACGCAATGACATGACCCTACGTCATTGCTTTTGCGAAACAGATCACAACGCCGTCAAACACGCATCAAGAGAGAGAGGGTGTGAGCTAAGGTGATGGCACAGACAGGGCTTTTTTAATGTTACAGCATCACGGGGTTTTAGCAGTACAACACGTAAGGAAAACAATACAAGTGCCGAAATTTAGGCAAAAGCCGAATCGACCAATCAAATGCGAAATATCGTTGTACAGAAAAGGTAATATCGATTATATTACGATTTCAGCATATCGTTCTATGAAAAACTGTAAAAGCACTTAAAACAGCAACGCAGCACTGTTCAAGGACACAGATAGCTAAGCCTCAGCAACGCAATTTGTAAAAAAAAATGAAAAGGCAAACATGTGCAACGAGCTGATTACTCTAAAGTTTGTGATGCCACCCTAGGCGGTGCAGCTCACTCCCACACAAATAAAAGACACTAGAAGTAGATAATTACATTTAGTCACCCAAAAAAAGCGAGCGACAGAAATACTGTGTACACAAATCCCACAAAATCGTAATAAGTGCTTTTAGGGCTTTGAATTTCTTCATTGTTAAGGCTAACCCCATGACATCACATGGTGATTAGACCCTTCGTGATCATTGATTCTGAAACTGGGGTACTTTACTAAATCTGGGCGACGATAATGATGTCCTGATGCAGGATGCTTGTGTACGTCAAGTTTGTGCGAAGCAAAATATTTGATACGCGGTTGTTTTCTTATGGACAATAGGAACTGCTGCAAATGACGCCACGACCAGGCACTCGTCTGACGCTCAGTCCACCGTCTGTTGGTAATGTTTGGTACTAATGGACGAACAGCCACAAAAATTTCCCACGATATCGGGGTAGGCTTAGGAGAGTACCGGTAGCGTTGGCTGTGAACTGTCTACCCTACTGTGAAACACAATGTCTCGAATGTCAACATTACAACACCTAAACCGATCACGAATTGCTTAGTACAGAAGTCGGTTTCGAGATTTTATTTGACATGGTGGTGACACTGCTACTCGCGGTATAAAATAGAGCGAAGAATGCACATGAAAGCCTATCCTGTGCCTGAAAACCACGGGACGTCAAAATATCCTTTCACTGCCCACATAAATAGTTGACAGTTGGATTTTGCATAAGCAAGCCGTCGGCGTATCGCCATACCACACCTGGGATGCCGAGTGTAGGTGGCGCCGTTGTGACTATCATTCATAAATCCAGTGACTAAGTGTCAATGCAAGCACTCCGCTGTTTCCACATTAATGGCCTTGAATTTGAGCTATTGAACCTCGATGCTGATGATTTACGCCATCACGATTTCAAATTAGATATACTGACCAATCTAGCTGGTACGTTACTTTATGACAAAGAGACGGTTTGCGATTTTACCATGTTGGAAGCACACGCTTATCGTATTGCAATACTGTTGGAAGCACTTTCGTATGGTAAAAAGATTAATTGGGAGTCAGTCGAATGGAGAATGACACTAGAAAAGTTATAAACATTTCGTTACAACAAATGATCCAATGCATACGTTATTTAATCGTTTTCGTACTCACGGATGAACTGCATGACAGCTAGGTGACATTATTTGAAATATGGCAAACAAACCTAAGGAGATTCATAAAGCGGGGAAAGGTATGTAGCATGTGAAAAGAAGCACGAGTATTGAAGCAAGGTTATTAAAATGAAGTATACTGTAAGCAGCGCGAGAAACAATCATGCGCTAAGGCAAGCGCTAATTAGTCAGCATTAAGAGTCTCATAGATAGACATTTAAAGTCAAAAATGGGTCAAATGATAACATTGCATAAATGCTGGCCAAGGGTAAATTCTAGGCTCGTGGATATAGCTTACTTGTGGCATAGGGTGTGAATCCAATTGAATTTTGTGCAGGTTGAGTGGTATTTGGCTTGGCGAAAACAGGCGGGCGACTTCCAAAAACCTCTTGAAGTATTCCTAAAAGCTGTTGTGTGGATGAGCCAGGCTAAAAAAGTTAAAGGAAAAAAAAAACAAGAATAAAGTGCAAATCAAACACCCAAACCCACTAAACTGAATCGCGACATACAAATTTCCACTCGGACAGGTAGGGAAGGAATACTTTTCCATTTGTGTCCACATTTGGACCCGCTTTTATCTGCATGGTTGAGGTAGGACGGACATAAGCAATCGGCGGATGGTATGGGTGCTGATGGACAAAGTACACAGCTAGTGGAATATTGTACGTATTTCCCATGTACTTCACGGGTATTGTACCCTCAAGACACAGAAGTTGGTTGGTTTGGCCATTTTCAAAGGCTAAAAATTTAGAAACTAAAATACTCTTACCATAGTGTTGCAGTTTTACCTGGAGACTGTGGTAAGCCTGAGAAGCCTTCTCAATATCCAATCGAGCAGCATTTGTGTGTTGATACTAAAACGAAGTTAGCAAAAATAGAGTACATAGTGGGCAGATAGAACAAACATCAAGTCGGCAACAAGTTGGAATGTAGACTCAACAATATGTGACTAATACGTAGTTTACCCAAATATAACAAATGGCAATCGTGCACTGGAATGCTAAAGGGATGCATATTAATGGTAAATCCACTCTGTACCAAGGTTAAGCAACCAACAACACCACAAAAGTAAAACTCGGAAGAATGTATAGGAGACTGAAAAGGGCCTCAAGTTTATACAAAACAATTGTAAAAGTGACCTAGCAACAATGTAAAGGGCACTACCGTCAACACAAGTCACGACACTGAAGATTCCAGACAGCATGGTTAACAATTACCAGTGGAGTTGATGTCAGTAAAAACTAATTTTAAATGAGCAAATTGGTGAAGCCATTATGTCATCCATACGCTGTTCTTCTTTCACAGGACAAAAAAATATTACTAAAAAGCACCAATTTCAGCGCTATAATAGAAAACTTTAACAATAATTACTAACATATCTTAGCCCGTGGTGTAGAACGCTGGACGAGGTCGACATTTTGCCGATGGCACAACTCGTTTCAGGCGCGATACCGATCAAGCAACTAAAAGTAATCGTAAGTACTCAGGAATTCAATGGATTTTAGCAACTATATTTGTTTGTGCTTACTAAAAACCTAGAAATTATAATATCAGCTAAATGAAAATAATATTAACGGCTGAATTACAGAGTTTGCATCGAAAGTGCTTCTAAATGCAGGCAATGCTCCTAATAAATTACACAATTATTCACCATCTCAGTTCGCATTTAATTTTACGTTTAAACTAACTTTGTTTTCTCGTGCGTACGTATTGATGCAAAAATTTGCTGATGAATATAAAATAACTGAAAATACAGCAATGCAAAATTGACTGTAAAGGCACTTGTTTGCAAAAATTTCTCCAATATACTAGCAAAGGCAAGCTAATAACCTGTAGGCAGGCCCGGAGAGCTATATTTCTGCACTGAACATTGTGCGAACCAATTTACTTCAAAAGCAATCACTTCTGGTACATCTGTTATTGTAGAATGTTCATTTTTGCCTGTTCCGATTACTACTTGGGACTGAAAAGTAAAGAATAAAAATGAGTAAAAAAGTGCTCTGACTCATCAAACGGATCTGCTACAGACCGATTCCGACATTTGATTCCTTGCTAACTCAATTAATTACTCAACTTATCTAGGCAGTTTCGATTTAAACTGCAGCAGCCATGTGCTACACAAATATACCGAAATAGTGTCTAAATCTACTTTTGTCTTTGCCATGGTTGATTGCTAGCATTATTTGTCATTGTATACCCTGAATAAATTGATTTGACATAAATTCTCTGAATATCAAAATCGATATAAATCAAAGAAAATATAACACATCAGGAAAAATCAAAATCAAACTAATGCTGGGTTGTTTGCCATCCACCATTTTTTTTCGCGAAAAGTTTGTTCACAAAGAAATATATATATATATATATGTAAGTGTGCAGTGTAAATTTCCAGAATGCATCAGCTCAGTCCCGGAAATTTTTTTAAAACACCAAAAGAACAAAATTTTAAGGATCGAGGAGAGTTTAAACAAATTAGGAAGAATTATTCGGCTAATAAAAATGAAAATAATGCTTATGATACGATTATCTGTGTTTAACGATAAAAGTCTAGTTGAACTCCACATATTTAGTGCTTCGTGCCGTTCTTCGAAAACCCACTCCTTTATTATCTTCTATCCCCAAATCTCTATACATATTTCTCCTTCTTAAAGCTTTTAAAATATGGAACCAATTTGCCACAAATACTTTTACTAGGTTTTTTCCAAACTCTATTGGTCAGCAACCTTATTTATTACTTACGATTTTAATGAATAATAGTGTGACAAAGTCTTCCTGGATAAACGACCAAGTGTACTAAAGTCTCTGTTAATCAGCAACTGGTCTTAAATGGTACCTTCGCAGCTAATTCAGCTAATGCACATTGAACTGATTTGCGTTGTTGATGGCCACAATAAGTGTCTTAGAGATAACGCTTTTTACGACACTAAAAGAATTTTTTGCTTGAGCCTTTTAATAATTAGAGCTTAAGTAGCGCTTTTTTAACAATTTGGAAAATGTAAATACAGCAACATATTTGGAATCACAATGACCTTTCACCATTGCATGACAAAGAGTTCAATAAGTCAAAGATAGCAGGAAAAATACTGCAGGATTTTGTGTTTACTCGATACATTATAGGCTGCAATAAGCAATTTCTAGTGCCAAAATCCTTAAACAATTTCGAATCTATGTAATTAAAAGAAAGGTATCTCTCAGGTAAGTCATCATTTGAGATAAATTTAAACAGTAGATATCCTTGAAATCAATGCATTTATGGATAAAGGTAACTGTAATTTTTTTAATTTTTTGTCTGTATTGCGTGTTGTTTATATTAATCAAAATTGTAGAGACTCTTTTTTCTCGTCTAATCGAAAACGTTGTATCAGGTAGTTGTGTAGCTGCTGTCAAGGTCTCTGATGTCGAACCCGAGAGTTCGGAAGTCTAGGTCTTCAGCAGATGGGAGTGGACACAAATTGAATTTAAAGACCAAAACTTCTTCTAGGGATAGCAGTAAACCTGCAAGATCGAAGGTGCCGTTGAATAAATCAGGGAAGGTCTTGCAAAAAGTATTAAAACGCAATGATGTTTCCTCTGACAGAACGATTCCATCTCAAAAAGCGCAGGTGCGTTCTATCAAGACAGAGAGCCATCAAAAAACGAGAAGTAGCCTTTCTCATTCTACTCTAAATAAGGAAAGACATCCACTGACAACCAGAGAATATTTTCACGAAATTGAAGATGACATGGCTTCAGTTCAGGCTCAGGAAAAACTAGTCCTTAAACAGTCGCACATTTCGAATTGTGTGTCTGAAACACCATCAAATACAACCTCAGATGACGTGATTATTGATGGATTGTCAACGCACATGGAAGCTTCGACGACAAATAGTGTACTACAAGGTTATAATCCAGATATGTCATCACCCTTGAAGACAGAAGATGTCGTGGTTTCCCCGAAAGCCTTATTAACTCATGATGCCGGGTGTTTCTCAGTATATTCGTGCAATGCAAACGTGTTCTTGGGCGGCTCTGCCTTCCGGTTAGAGAAGAAGACCTCAGAGAATGAGCTAGCTAACTTGTTGACCCGTAAGGTTACATTAGTAAATACCAATCGTCAGGTCCAACGCGGGAAAGAACTTCTTAAGCTCATTGAATTGTGTATGGATGATGTGCGTCATCTCCTCGACCTTCAGCCGCTCGACGATTACTCGAGCTACATTTTACGGTTTGGACAAAGTGGACACTGTCAAATGCAAACCCAAACGTTGGACGACTGCGTTTCAAGAGATGTGCAAACTGGGGACCCCAGGTCTGCCCCCTACTCTTCATGGACTCAAGCTCCACCTATCTATGATAATGGCTATTCAGGCCATGACTACCACACCGGTATAGTTTATTAAACAGTCTTTACATTTTTTATCGGCTTGTGTTCTAACAGATCCTTTAAATATACAGATAGTTTCAGTGTAAGGGCTGTGACACAATTATTAACTGCAGGTTGTGAAAGATCTTGTGTGTATTGGATACATTTGTCTATTGTAACGGTTATCTCTTTTGTTCGTTTTTGTTGGTAATTCCAGTCACATGTGAGAACAAAACAATGCGTGGCTTGTACAAGTCATAAAAGGCTGAAAGCTATTGCCTTTATTTAAAGCAACTATGTATCTTATTTTTAGCATCTGCACCTGTTTTACATCCGGAGGACTGTACCATCGACATTGATGAGAATTTACAATCAGTCTTGCACAAATCTTACTTAGAAATTGCGCCTTTGCGGAAATCTTCAATAAGGGAAAATACACTCACTGACTTCTCTGCCGCAACTTTGCACCGACTTAAAGCAAGCATGAACACGGTGCTTGCAGTGCTTGAAGAGGATGCGGAAGAACGTTGTGACGGCGTTTTTGAGAATAGGCTTGCCATGAAGGATAACAGCGTCCAGATTTCACTGTCTCTTTCAGCTAGCACAGTTTTTGATATCCATGAGCGGTGCTATCAAACCATGGTGGACTTGGAGTGCATCTACTGCGAGTTCTCAACCACATCCCCTTGTCGTCTGTTCAGCTTACATCGTCTCAAGTTGGTTAGTGTGCATCTTCCAAGTTTAATCTCGACGTTTAGCCAGATAACGTGCATCCTCCTACGGGCCCTTCCCCCTGTGACGTTGTCTGCGTGTGGCAGCTTAACGTCGGCTCTGGACACGGTCGTGTCGAGCGTATTCTCACGTGTCCAGGGCTCTTGCCCATGTCAGGACGTGCCCTTAGTTTAATGGAACCCAACAAATTTATCAGTGGAGTAGGCGAAGGAATTACATGCGTTTTGGCAGAAGCTGGTCATGAATTTGATGTGGTAAGCCCTCAATCTGCACCCTTAGTGCAATTGTATTTTATGTCTTTTAGAAATTTATAATACCTGGTTTAAGTCCATCTCGTTGCAGCATGTTGCTTGGCCAGGTTATGAGATTGTTTGTGGACTAGTTTAAAATAGCTGTTGACTGAAGGTGAATGAATTACGCTATTTTCTTTGGAAACCAGTCCAACAGTAATGGGGATGTGTTTGTGTGTGATTATTGCAAAAAAAGTCAGTGCCAAGTGTTCCAAAAGCGCTTTAAGCCATTAGAAATAATTTGCACTGATTATACTTGGTTTTGAAAACAGTTGTACTGCAATCTTCTTGGTGGACTTGGCTAAATGGTGTTGCATGCATGCAAAACGATGCATCACATGTCTTGTTCAGGTTGTAGGTGGTTTGAGTGATGGAAGCTTGGCCGTCTGGGATTTAGCCACCAGCTTTTCTATTCCCTCCAGCCAATTGACAGCAAAAGACCACAAGGACTCGGCTTCCCTTCCCGCTTTATTCGATTACGCGCATTCGCCAGATTACGTTGCCTTTTCCGCCTTCACAGAGAAGCCCAGGAACCCTGATCTTCAGTCGCTATTTATCTCGCCAATCATTGCACTGAAGTCCCTAACCACGAAGCACCAATTCTTAAACAGCTTCCAATTGTGTTCTCTTGACGCCCGCGGAAATCTGGGCATTTGGATGGCAATGAAAATACACCCACAAATGTTCAAGGACCAGGCTGGATCTACCACCGACTTGGGACTGCGTCCAGGTTGTTGCGTAAGACTGATTCAGCTGTCGAAGTTCACTGCTGAAAACGACCGCGTCCCCAGGGTAAGCTGATGTCCTTTAACCTCCACAATGGTTGGCTGCACCACCGTTTTGCGATTAAAATCTACCAAACCACGTAGCTTTGACTCTCAGTGCTTTCAAGTTAAACTTACAGATCCATTGAAGCCTTCAGTGCTTTGAACGATGTTGTTTCATTTTAACCTAATTTTCAGCAATACCAACGGTAAAAGCACGTTATTTCCCTCTTAACTGCCTTCATTATAGCATTGATGAATGCTTAAAATCAAGTAATGTGTTAGCAGTAGACATGTTTAAGGAATTAACTTTGCTATTTCGTCGCATGTAGTGATAGTGAATAATGTGAAGTTCATTTCCAAGTCGCTTGTAGAAAAATTACAAGTCCACAAACAATTTGAAATGGTCCTGCCATTGATGTTGATTTCTGGTTAATTTGATTTGGTTTGGTTTATATAAAGGAACGTTTTTGAATGCCAATAGAATCGTTGGTACTTTCGGTGCAAAACTTTTCATCACATAACAAGTAATGAATCTACTCAACCAGCCATTTCTTCTTGACCGAAAAGCTGTCAGTGCATAGCGAAACTTTGGCGCTTTTGTACTTCTCGAACGTTCATACAAGCGCAGTCTGAGAGCAATGGTGTTTTTACTCGTTTGAAGGCGCTACGTTTGAAAAATCGGCAAACATTGGCCAGTCAGCCCAGTTTGTGGCCTTAACATGATCGTTAATTCACAGCTAAATGACAACGACACCTACAAAAGTGCCTGGTTAAACTGAACTGAACTGAAACCATGTCGGCTCGGATGTTGGATTTGATCTCTCCTTAGAATTGAACCATAGGTAGACATGAATATTGTTAAGATTTTCTTACTTGAAATGTCGAATTGACACCCTTGTTTGCTATCCATGCATGGAATTTGAATAACCTCTTAGGCGGTGTTTATCCACGGCTAATCGTTGTCGATTAAGTCTGTCTAATTGCTACAGTTTTCTGCAGTAGAACCCCATATCTCAGTGCACACATGCACGGACCACAATTTAAGTAGTTTGAAATATCCCATCAACAAAAAAAGGTCTTTTTTGACTGTATAACACACGAAACTAGACGCACAACTAGGAATTTGCTAGGACACGTTTTTCACCTTACGTCAACACACCTGAATGAGCAAACACATTTGGTTGGTTGGTGTGGCGACGTCTAAGGACGCAGACATATTGGATCACGCTGGCCTCAGCCAATCCTCTGTCTGTCTGTGTTCCAATGGCATGGGAGGAAGATACGTAGCTAACCAGAGAAAGACACAAATGATGAGCAGTATATAATGAGCGGCGTGACCAGCGTGGCGGACTCGGATGGGCGACGTCTGACGTGTGGTTCTGGCTTGTGATTGGTCAATAAAGCCTTGTCTGTTGTACTAGTCTTAGACATACTAGGGCTCGGGTATTCTACAATACCACAATAAGTACATGAGCCAATAGCATAGCGTGTTTGCTTGCCTTGTCAGCGATTGGCCGAAGACCAGACCTCCAGTTATTTGGCCCCTTTTACCACGTGTTTGGAGGTGTGTCAGACAAAAGACACCTTCTTAATTGGCTCCGAGGACGGTACCATCAGACAGCGGTGTCGCGCGGCCACCAGGTCGATTTATCCAAATTGTTTTTCTACCGGTGCTGCTGCTGCTTCGGTGACATGCCTCGCTGTGCACCCAGTCCTCCAAAACCTCCTCCTTGCAGGTACATTCTACTCATTGTTATGTAAGTAGAAATAAAGTCTGACGACATGAAAGTAGCCCTATCAGCCGCTAATCTGCAATTCTTAGTCTTATTCTACCAATCTCTTCTATAAATCGCCTTTGCTGTCGATATCCAAGACTCCATTCACTGCTAAATCGATGGATAGCATTGTGAGATGCCTCGTAAGTGGCCTTATCCCCAAATTATCACGATTTCCTTTGGACCTGAAATAGCTAATCCGCATTACCACCTGTTTTGCTATTGTCATCCGAGTTACTGATTTACTACTATCCAAAATATGTTTAAGAATCGCCTTAGCTTCTAGTTGTGTTCTAAATTTACACTAGGTAATTTTCTTTCTAATCAATTTTTTAAAAAATGAAATTTTTTCTAATTTCTCCAATATTATAGACATCAGAAATCATTCCATTTAAGGAAATAAGACATTCAAAAGTATCTTGTACCTAAAAGGCAGGTATTTAGAGGGCATGTCCAGGCCAATGACAGTAGACAGCAGTTTTGTCGTTTCTGAACATCGTGGTTGCACTTGAATGCCGATAAAAACACTAGAAGATGTGTTGACGATAAAATGAGCTCTGTGAATGCAAGCGCTGTATTAGTACTTGACATAAAAATACAGCAATTTGTTTCCATTTAGCTAGCGAATTGATCATTCTGAATCCCGAAAACCACCAACTTGGCTTTCGTTGGAGTGTTTTTGTTGACTTCAGTGTACAAAGAAGAGCTAGTACTAATTACTTTTAAAATGGATAAATTGTTATTAATTATCTCACCTGCACGGCACCATTATTATCAATTGCCGCACATCTTTACCGTAAAGGTGGGTAATTACGGTTTTTTTCTTCTGTACAAATCAGCTAAGTACGAGAATCTGAAGCCCTTGTAGTAAGATTGAATCTTTCGTGTTTGGGCACTTACAACGCCTTTCGCCATTTTCTTGATGAATTAATGAGGACTTACTCAGGCAGTGCCTTCACTCTGAGGTCGAGTCCGGTGAGGCGAAAACTTGCCCGAGGCGACAGCCTTTGTAAATCATGTTAACCTGCCACATTCTTGGCTGTTGTAGTTTAATTGGCATTTTTTGTTAATTAGGGTTGTGTATCGACTCTAGTTGCACAACCCACTGCCGTAGTGATTTTTTGGAGATGGTCGGCTTCTCTTTTATACCCACTAGATCGGCTGATAGCTGTCTCAGTTTATCGGGAGTCGAGACGGCTATGGATAATATTTGTTAAAATTGTGCACAATTTCATGTCATGATATGTTGAATGAGCTTAAAAAATTTGGCCAGTTTGAACTGCAAACGATAAACTTGTCAAGACTGTTGTTTGGAAGTATGCTTCTGCTCTTAGGACGGTTAAACCGTGGTTAAGTGGGTTTCAAAGCAGTGACCTCAATCAAGACGATAATATTTGCTCTGGGTGACCTTCCACAGGTCACCACTGAGAAAGTAAGTGTTGACAATCTGACTGCGTATTGCCATTTAAAGCAACTAGGATACACGTCGAAACACGATATCGGAATCATATTTCCAAAGTTTTTTTCGCCTGTCAAATAAACGCATCTTTCAAAAATCTACCCATTACTATGGATGAAAAGTGTTCTGTACATAACAACATAGTAAGACTGGGGGTTAAGTCCACGGAAGTGAAATAGCAGAATTAGTGATAGAGGCCGAATTGGTGCATCCAATGTGAGCGTTGTCGTACGTTTGGTGTGGGTTATTGTAGATTAATTCTTCCTTTTGGCCTAACAATAATTGCGATGACGTACCTCGAGTAACTCACGAAACTCATCTTTCACCAAGGCAAACTGCAAAACTTGGAAACCCAAAATCGCAATCCTCTAGTGCTTGTCGTACTCCCCTGAACTTGCCTCTTCAAGATCAAGCACTATTTGACGACCTTGATGTGACCTTGAGACAGTTAAAAGGAGATGATGGAAAGTACATTACTAATTAATAAGGTTATTTTTTTTAAAAGAAAAGATCAAAGTAGAGGCCATGCTTACCTTGACACTACCATAACCTTAAGCTCTTATCGGCTACCGTCTTTTTGCGTTGCGTTTCGCCTTATCGTGGCTATTCGCGAGCGAATATACCGTCTGATGGACTAGTAATTCCTGTTCTTACAACCAAACTGAATAGCTTCCCCTCCATTCTCGGCTTCAAGCATGTCAGTTTGCTGAGGGATTGGTAGATTTCAACTGTCACAACTTTTCTTCATAGTTGAGGTATCTCGTTTTGTGAAACTAACTCCTGTGTCGTTAAATCATTAACAGCTTATCAAAATTCACTGCCTGAGGAACATTATTCGATATTTCAAGAGCAACTCGTTTTATGTCTATTGGAGACCCGAAATATCTTGAGGCTACTTCAGGCGTTTACCCGAATTACCACATCTGAAGGTGGACGTACAAGATTGGGAAGGTCTGTAATTTGGTTCCATACCAAATCACTACTGCCTCCTTCGTTCCTTGGGTTAAATCCCCACCCCCGGCAAGGTTTAGCCTGCTTCATAGCGCTCTTGGTTTACCATGTAAAGGCTACGCGGATGGCCGACTGGCTCTCTTCCTGACTCACCTGTCGCGACCTGCGTTCGAGTGGTGCATGAAATCCACCAATGGCGACGGGGTCGCAAATGCCGCGCGTAAAGTCGTCTGGTCGCCGCACCGTCCCAGTGTCGTCTACTGCCTCACAGGCGTCGGCGACGTGGTGGTCTGGCTGCTGGGCGGTCGCAGCGGGGGCAGCATCGAGCCCAGCCACCAGACCCTCATCCGAGGCGTCGGCGAGGCACGACGAGTGGCCGATTTTGCCATCTCAGGAAGCAGTAGCAAGTGTCTGGCTGTCTGCTGGCCCCACGGCGCCGAAATCCACTGGCTGGAGGACAATCTGACCGTGGTTCAAGTCGACGAGGTTAAAATGCTGCAAGACCTCCTCAATCGTTTGTTTTAAAATGATCCGAGTTTCTTGTTTGACTTTGGTTGCATTTATATTTATAAACTCGATATTCACCCTCCACTTGTGTTTCTTTTCTAACTCAACCAATTCGCTCGTGGTGGCTAACTTGATACATTCAAGAGTAGCAGGAGGTGTGAAAGGGACGTTAGGCTTACTTGATCCGTTGTTAGAGTTATTTGTGGTGAAGGCCTGGTTTTTTTTTCAAATCAGACCTCCTGCTCACTTGATTGGCGCTTAGCTATTTCGGATCCGGTTTGAAGGCAGAAAAAGTACTGGCGTTCTTGTTGTGGGAATCGATTGTACAATATGCTAGTACTTTTTCTCAATTGCCAGCTATCGTTAGTTTTAAAGAAAACGAATTCAATATAAAAAAAACCATCGCATCAGTCGCCCATAGCGTGCATCAATCTCCTTATGGGATGCAGGGAACCAGTAGCTGGTGGCATCAAACCCCTCTTTTAAAGTAAGCCTTGGTCAGCAATAAATTTAAAGAGTGCTAGGAAGGCGGTAAAAGAGGATTATAACCCAGACAAGCTTATTTAAAAATTACCTTGCTCACGTAATATGCGAGTAGGATCCATGCTTCCTGCTCCAGAAATTGGGAAATTTAAATAAACGTTTTTCTGGTTTGACTCAACGCAATGATTGCGAAGTTGAATGATGGGACTGGCTCAGAGGTTGATAAGCATGACCGAGAATTTCTTGTGCCTTTTCGTAAAGTGCTTTTGTGTAACGAAAACGTAGGGTGTTAACCGCACCACATCAGGCCACGATGTTCCACTTCTTGGACACTTGGGGCATATTTTGTCCCCACCCGCACACTTCGAGGGACTATAAAGCGAGGTGATTTTTGATCCAGCAGCCTAACTTTGGGTCGGATGTGACGCTATCCCGTGGGTGTTGGGTCGATGGGCATGAATTTGGGATAAAACATTAGCCTTTTTTATTTAAGCCTGAATTTTTGCATGTAGTTGGTCAATTTGTAAGAGGAATAACTCTCACCTATTGTTTAATGTAGAAATTGGTTACTTAATCGGTTCGAATTGAACAAATATCCCACCTACTCGATTGGGATTAAGTTCCCTCGAATTAATATCCAACTTTCATTCACGTAGTTCCCACTGCGGTAATGTCCTAAGTTATTTCATTTTTAAACGCTGCGCTACGCATTGGATTGCGTTATGGTGCTTGACACATCGCCATAGGATTACAACCAGTGGGTTTGTCTTTGGCCATGGCAATCGAGGTGCCTACCACAGCTACGTTGTAATCTGAAAGCAAGGAAGAATGAGTCAGTTGAAATCGCGTGTCAGTACCCAATGAAATCACCCAACACATTATGACCGATAATTGCTCGCCACTTCCGGCGGACGTAAGGAGCAATCACTGAACCCGATTTCTATTCCACTTTCTCGTCCTCTTGCACGCACGCATATCCACGCACGTGAATCGCGCGCTCATTGATTGGTACTCAAAGGGCGTGCCTCACCGCTGGCCAATCGCGTGGCGCGTGCGTGTGAGAGTACGTAGTGAGCACTCATGCCTTTCCCCGAAGGCAGCAACGTGCACGCTCCCAAGCAAGCACACATGTCCAATCCCCGAAGAGAATCAATGGTGGAAGCACCACCCGGTTGTGCACCGCTAGTTGACTTCTTGATCGACGGTTCGGATCGCGCGTGCGTCAGTTCGAAAATGCAGGCTTCGATTTCTGTGGAGACCAGTAACGGATCGTGCGAAGCTGCACCTCGTGTCTTTGAGGCGAATCAGGCCCCGGATTGTCTGGTGCTCCTCCAGATAGCCTCAACGGGCAAGCAGGGCGCCGAATTAGGCTCCGATGAGTGCCCATTGGTCATGATTACAGCAAAAATTTTCGATATCCATTCGAGAACAGTAAGTAAATGTCTGAAGTGACTATGGAGTATTAGGTTTGTGCGTTGTTGATGAAATAATTACCAGATAAAAGGACAATCTATAGGTTTGCTTGAGTAGCTTCTAAGTTTGAATTATGAATTCATTAAAATTGCATAGAATGGCATTTGCTCATTTACAGGTTAAAAATTAATGACCATTTTGGTAAAACGGTTTCAAATATGTACTTGGTTAAATTATCGAATCTTTATTCTCCATAAAGCAACTCATTTTGGTTTAAAGTTTTGAATCATTTTGTAAAGTCAGCGTTCTAGTTAACAGTTTACCGAGAGAATTTACATCTTCATATGGCCTGAATGCGGTCACTTTTAACTTTTGTAGCGCTGTGAAATATGGTGTTCGTTAAACAATTGAGGCTCAATCTCAGTTTTGTAAAACTCAAACTGTCAAAGACCTTTATGGTCTTATTTACTCGGAGCAAACGTTTTCTTAGGTAGTTTGGCATTGCGAAATATAATCTGGTTTAATTGGATAATGAGACAGTTATGGTGTCGTCTGTGTTGAACATATACTTGCTTGAGAATAAAAGTCGCCGTTAGTGTTCTCACGCCTCTGCTACCTTAACAATAACCTTGCCATAGCTGAAATCCTGACTTTTTGATGTATCCATGTCATAAAAATACTTATATCAACACGAAATGACCTATTTATTTCCTCGAAGCAAGTAAAAGTAGCCGATCGCGTGAATTTTATTTAATTTTTTTAAATGTAAAAACCGAATACTTGCGCCACTTTTTCTGGGGCAATTTACTAAATCCTTGCACCATTATGTCCATGGTTACACACCACTCTGTTATCATATTTAAAATAATTTTTTTTTGAAATTTCGGTTTAGCATTAAAACAAATTTAAGACCTACGTCGAATTCTTTTTTTAAGACAGTGGCAAATAATCTGTCAACTTGCACAACAAGGCTAACAATACTAGTTATCTCATTCACACATAACAAATTTCGTTGGTCCTCTTCAACTGGTTATGAATTTTGATTACTATGATGAAATACAACGATTATAATAACGAATTATATTGCATTAATGGGAACGTAAGGTCCTGTAAATATGACACCTGCGATATCGAAGTTCCGTGAAGGGTTATTTCTGTAATAAGCTTGCTTCACGATCCTACAACGAGCCGATAAGGCAAGCAGCCTGTTGAATCCATTAAGTCATTGCCCTGGGGGCGGCGAAACCTTTATGACCTCAATTCTGCAAATTTCCATGACAATTGAGGGTGAAGGACGTCGGCATTTGCAGACCCTGCTGACGGTTAAGGTAGAGTGTGAGCACCAGACCAAAATCTCACAATCTCTGTTCACTTCGTGTGTTGGTGCCGCTGAGAACATTATCCTTTTATGGGAAGTCGATAATCAAACTTAGTTCTCATTAAATTGTCTTAGATTTAACAGCAGTCTCATTCTTAGATGACAGGGAGGTCGGACCTTACTGTTGATTGTAAACCGCATCAAGACGTAATTTAACTTGACAGATGTAAAGATACTAATCAATTTTTTGCTCTCTAGCGAAGTTATACTATTTCCATTGTGCTTCACAGTTTAGCCCACTAGATTTCTCACAGTGAACTGCATGCCGTCATGTTTGTAAGGCGCTTGCATACCATGCGCATTTGACAATATGTGTTATTCACAAATCTAGATAAAATTCACTGCATCTAGATTATGTTCAGTCTAGTTATCTGTCGCCACATGGTCTGCGTGAGCCAGTGTTTGACCTCTGCACACATTCCAATTGAAATTCCACGCCTAAGCCGCTGACGATGACCTCGCTAGCCGAAATCCACGGCATGCCCTAGCCGGCGTTGGAAGCACGCACGCACGCAGGGCGCTCACGCGTTGCGCACACAGGCCTTAGCAAGTAACAAATTCGTCACCTGCTTTGCCAGTGTAACAATGTCGGCAAGATGTAAGGCCCAAGGCTTTTTGGTTTGCAACAACATAATGCGTTGTTTTCGAAGTGACCGCTATTTAAGGAGATATCGCGAAACAGCTTAAGAAAGCCGGTAGACCGAGCATCGTCAATGCCTGAACTGGACACACCGATTCCCATCAAAAGCCTCGTTAATCGTCCTTTGTGGCTTTACTAAAGGCAAATAACGGCGAAGAAACATCATATTTTAATATGTTTAAGTCCTTGAATGGTGTAAGCTGCAGGTACTACAGCAACGGTCTGCGAACAGTGAGTTATATGATTATTAAGAGAAGCCACTTCTAAGATATTTCGAACGTGTAAACTTTGCTATAACTATTGTCAAATAGGGAAAAACAGGTCTGTATAGCCGTCGGTATTTCCCATCATGCTAACAAATTCGTGATTGCTAATGGTTAAACAAATAATAAAGGATAAGTTCTTTGTCAACAATAATAATGCTTGTTAGGGTCCCAGATTTTCATGGGTATCACACAGCACCTTCCGATTGGTTATGAGGTCTAAGGCGACGCAGAATTCACCACGTTGTTATAATTTCGGTGTATATCGAAACAAGCCCTGTTGGCTGAAATCCGCCTAACGCCACTGTAAGATCCGATCAGGTTGTCAAAACGGCGAACTTTAGTTCCAAGGTCATGCACTTCCGCAGAGCAAGTTGACACGGTGCTGACCATGGCAAGCCCAAGAAAGATCCTATGTGAGTGTGTTTATGAGCACGGCTTGGGTGCATTCATGTGTTGTAAGTCAACGCCGTGTAATGGCATTGTTTCTATTAGCACAGAAGTAGCGATGAGGTCGTTATAAATAGGTTGTGCAACTAGAAATTATGGAGCTTATGACTTATCAATGATGCTAGGTCCGTTTGAAAGCGTGGTTTTGCTAATATTTATAAAAGAGGTGATTTGAATCAAAATATCTCTCACCCGCAATTAGGAAAACTGAGCCGACGATGTCCCGAAATCCCGCTCTTCTGAGTTTGCCTGCACAATTTCCTCACGTCTTTTAGGTTTCTGGTGCAGAATTCCAGAGTCGTGTGAAATGCCCAAGCTCGTACTTGACGCAAAGCATATATAATGACCAATGCGATAGCACGAGTGAACCAGGGGAACCACCGAACTCCGTGTACGAGGAGTCGCTCTCTGAGGAATGCAAAGCGTTCACTGGTCTCAAAGACGCCGACCTTGTTGATGCCCCTTCCCTCTTAGAAGCACTAAAATCCGTAAGCGCTACTTTTCGATTGTAATCAGTGCAAGCCAATGCGATTTTGATGTAATGCCATGTATTAAATAGAGATAACCAACTGACCACAGCAATCTGTCTTCATTATAATCGTAATTAGCTCGTTTTTTACCACTAAAGCGTCTGCAACTAAATCGTCTGATTATGTTTGAATATCGCAAAAGTGTAGCCAAAAGCAACCAATGTTTCCACTGATAAAAATGCTTTTTTTCTGATAAATAAACACAGATATTCTTAATTCTGTTTGTTTGTTTTGAAACCCCATCAAAAGATTTGCATTTCACCACTTTGCTCCCCTCAAATCTCCTTTTACATCTCTGAGTACAAATTAACTCTGGTTAATCGTTATTTGCCGTTTTACAATGTCTATGCTACTCTAAAATGTAACACAAGTTTTCCAGCTAAATTAATGACAACATGTGGCGACTGTTTAGAGGAAGTACACTCCCTTGTTTGTTCATGTAAATACCATCCCACTAAAAATCAACTCTCTACAATAAACAGTTGTCTGTACTAGTATCCATGACATAATATCGCTGAACACTAGTGTTATGGTGGTAAATCAGTTATACAACACAAAACATTTCATTAAATGGCAAAGACATTTCGCTCTCAGATATCCTCTTCAGTTCCACAAAAGCGTTGATTGGTGCTTTAGATCATCTTGGCCTGCCAGGAAACAAAAAAGGCACCTCAGTTCAAACAAAAATGTCGAATTTATTTGATGAAATGCTCTTGTCTATATCATTTTGCCTTTTCTTCAAAGCTCGACACGTGGCTGACAAAGCAAGGACTTATTTTTGTTGGTGGTCTAACCGACGATGTCTGCGATTCCACTCCCGCGTGGTCTGAAACACGCCAATCCCTCAGTGGCTCGGATCGCGACCAGGTTGCCGGAGTGTCAGACAAACGATCGTTCGAGGTGGCAGTGGATGGGGGAACAGGCTTGCGACTAGTTCTTCACCAATCCATGACTCAGCCCGTCTCCCTCACTTACGCCCACTTCCCCTATCTGTATAGATTTATTGATCTTAAAAAGGTCTACAGACTTCTTTATCCCAAAACACAATCTCTCCTTTCCCTTCCTGAAATGATGCGAGGTGAGTTTGATACTTTTTGCCGAAGAAATGTGATTTGCAGCCTGCCTCCTGCCACTAAACAGCAGTTTTCTTATCGGTGGTATCATAAAAAAAGTACATTTTAACCAGCAGTCGAATTTAGGAGATTCACAGCACACCCTAAAAGCTTATTTAGTTGTTCGTGTAATGCTACTTATTTGGGGGCTTGGCTGATAACGCAGGTTCGATGCCTTTCATAAGAAATACAGATTACTTTCTATCAGATAGGCCCAGATATGAGGCTAACTGGTTATTCATTTTAGATGTGGGTCTTCAAGATTTTGACCTTCCCCCCGGCTACAGGCCGGAGTTGGCCATATGGGTGACTCCCTTGATAAGTTCAGGCGCACACGGCAGCCCGCTTCTGGAAGCTGAAGGTGGCACTAAGGTGACTGTGTCGGAAGATGGCCAACCACGTTGCCACGAAGTTGGCTACTGGCCACTGCTTTACTGCAGAAATATGGCAAAACTATGCGCCAAGATGACCGCTGACGGTGAGAATGGAAATATGGTTGTAGCAAATTATCTTGGTCATTGATTTTGCAGTTAGGACGTAACGATTGTGGATGCAAGGCTGTATTCTTATCTGTTTCAGTGAGATGCTTTTTCCCAACATCGCTAAGAGCACATTTATCCTGCGTGGGATTGAGAAAAGTATTAGTCGCCTACTAGTGTAAAGTAAACATTTGAGGTGTAGTCTCAACATTTGCACACAGCCAACGATGTGAGGCACCAAGTTCCCAATTAATCACGCAAAGCAACCAATCAGTAATAATGATTTGATTGGTAACGGAAAAACTACCCAATAAGCGATTGTTGAGAAGTGTCGAATTTCATTGTACGTTCATTGGAGAGCATAATATGCCATTTGTAATAATCATGTGTCTGACGCTAAATATGCACACCATGTTGTATACTTTTAGGGGCTAACTGGAAAGTGTACGAGTGCATCCATGCCCAATATCAGCCAATCTTCATGTAAGTATAAAAAACTGCTGTTCGTTGGTGGCCTTGAAATTGAAATTTCAAAACTGAACTATGACAATTTGATTGGCTAGGCGAATGCTGTGGTAGAAAGTGTTATCAAGGAATAACCTCTGTTCCCATAATTAATTCATTTTGTACGAATCATGCCTGGTACTTCTGATACGCTAAAAGAGGATGAGTCATTGTCACCGTCAGGTGGGTAACCAGGGTTCACTCAGGCGCGATCGCTATTAATCCGCTACATTAGTTACAGCTTCGACGAAAGGTCATCAACTTCTCTGACGAGATACCAAACAAACTACTTCCAGATTATCACTAGTCTATGCGATAAACCATTGAACGACAAATCCCCAAACTCATGTGAAACTTAACTGTCTGGTTGGATTGTGACTCGTAGCCATTTGCAGGTTCTCATTTTACTACATTCTGATTTGTTTTGCAATAGAAAAAGCTCCGAGGAGGTAAGCGACAACGTGGTTGTACGAGCCCGTGGACTTCCGTGGCAGGCAACGGATGCGGAGGTTCAACACTTCTTCCGGGGCATCAACATCGCCTCCGGTGGAATCGCTCTTGTCCTCAGCAAAGCGGGTCGACGCAGTGGCGAAGCTGTGATCCGATTCACAGACCGCGAGCAACGCGACCTTGCTCTGCGGAAGCACAGACACCACATGAACCATCGCTACATCGAAATCTACGCCGCCCGACCAGCCGAATTCATTGCTGCGGCTGGAGGTACTGCATGCTAACTCAAGTCCAGTTAGCTAGGATGTCTGTGATGGCCGATCTGTTGGCTTTTAGAAAGCTGATATCGAAGGCATCCAAGTTTCTTCTTAGCGTTAATAAGAAGTGAAGTAATATGGCGTGTGTTAGCTCAGAGCAGAAACAGGAAGTAGTTTGAATGAATACCGTATAGTTTGTCATCCAGATAAACGCCCATTTATTTGTGCCGACAACATATAGTGCACTTTGTCATTCCAATCGTAGGCAATACTCAAGAGGCGGAGGACTATCTCAGCAGGTTTACATCGCCCTTTCAAACTCTCATTAGGATGCGAGGCCTTCCATACTCTGTGTCGGCTAAAGAGATTGTAAGTATCTTCTGGGGGTTCCTTTCTTTTAAGAATTGATCTTTGTTGAGGTTGCCAATAAAATAGTAGTCAGCATTTATGAGCACTACATTCAGAGTGTTTCATTTAGTGGATTAAGAAGAATGGGCCTCTAGTTCCTAGTGCATGCAAGCTAAGTTCAGCGCTACTATCCTCTCTGGATATTTTCGTAAGGCATACCGAATCGATTTCAATTTGAAATCGCATCTTCATGACGGCTTTACACTCCAAAGTTTTACTGAATTCAAAAAAATGGTTTTATGATGGTGCGAAATCACGTCAATGCAAGACTGGGACACTATCTTTAAGTCATGCTGGTCTATTCTGCCTAGTTAATAAATCAAATGACCTTTTGGTGTAATTCAACTCCTATTTGATTTATCGCGTCAGTTGCCAACTAATCAATGTTGCATTCCGCAGTGAACAGCTGAACATTTTTTGCGGTGCCTTAGACCCACCAATTTCGTTATTCCACCATATCCATAGCATGGTCTTTTTTGAATTAGTTCGTACGACGAACCTGTGTTTGGTGAGGCGTATACCCCATACATTTAGATTGATTTTATTGTGGTTGATCTGTTTATCTTTAGCCCTGACCGTTCATTGAACAAAAGGACAGTACTTTGATGCTTGAGACGCATGACATTGTTTGTTTTTAACGAGTTTTTACGATTCCTCTGATAGACCGCTTAAACAAAGGATTTGATCTAGTCATAATCACCTGCAGTAGGTCGATCAGAACTTTGATCCCCCTTGTGTACATATTTTCATTAAGGAACTTTGTAAAGGTATTCTGACACACATTCAATTGCGCAAGCAACAGAGAATCTCAGTGACTTTCTTTCATTTTCATAAAATGAACACATGCAGGATTTTTCGTTAACCGCAAGAACATTGTTAAACTACACACCAAACTCAGATTCGAGCAAAGAGAATCACGATATGCCAGTACTGCAATCAATCTTTTTAGTCGGAGTATTTCAAGGCAAACGAAACGCTGATTGTAAAAACTGAAATCTTCTTGTCAATCAGTCAGTCTACCAAACATTTTTATCGGATAGAGACGAAAGATCATACAAATTTAACTAGTTTACGCCTGAATCTTTGAGGTAAGGCCCACAAAAGGCTATTAGAAATGCAGGAGAATTTAACGACGTCAACTTTTTCGATTCAACTGTCTGCAATAAGCTAGAATGTGTTGCCATTCTCTGATTTTAATCCGTGTTTAATGTTGCGCATATTGAATATGACAGTCCGACTTACGACGTCTACTTCCTCCTATGTTGCGTAAACTGGACCTTGCATCTTTATCCAATACTACCCATTCCGGTCAGTTCTGTAACCGGAAAGGTACCAAGGGTCCCATCGTGTAACTTCAGGCATTTTTCGCAGTCTTTTCTACAGTCATCGAATAAGTAGGCTGAATTTTTTAACGCCGTAACTTTTCACGATATCGCTCACAATTAACAAAGCAAATGCGCTAAGTTAACCACCGTACTTTTTTAAAAAATCAAATACACAGATGCTGACCGCTTTGATATTTCATTTGCTATCTATTGTATTGAATGGATCTGGTATACGTTGAAGGCAGCTAAGATGTGAAATATTTTTGTAAAACTTCCGTTAGAAGGAAAATCTGTAGTAGATTTAGATTTAACCTAATTTGACATTAAATAGTGCATAATTGGGTTCAGTACCTAGATTCTTAAATAACTGCCTTAGCTTTGCCTCTGTTTGTAATTATTGTTTTGGATTGCCGTGCATCAAAAATCACCCTTATTATATCGCCTCCTTTTACTAAATTAAATGTTTCTTGATCGCTTAGTTTCACGTTTCACTGTGCCCAAATGCGAGTATGCAGACCTCAAAAGCAGTTACCACACGGAGTCTCGTTTGACTAGACAACAAGTAGTGACTCAGACAACAAAATTTTGTTCATTTTAAGAATCTTGACAGCTTTCACAGTGCTCAAAGATAAACAGCAATTAAATTTACCATCGCGAGAATTGGTAACTACTCAAAACCCCCTAACCTTGTCACGGTAGTGCAGTAGGCGTTGCTTTGGTGCAAGTAATTTCTATTGGTCCGTAGACTTGCTTCATTTTTTCTTAAGGGATCATATTAATTATGCATCTGGAGATCTGGCAACGAGGTAAGCTCTGGTAAAGTAAAACCTAATCTTTAATTGATACAGTCTGGTTAAATTACTCCACTTTTCTGGTTCGGATATCACACCAATGGTGCCTATCTTTTACTTGACATTGCATGCTATATCAGACACCTTAATTCTGGCATCGTTTCAAACAATTTTCAACAAAAAACATTGCAAAGATTCGAACACACGAAATCGTTGCTTTCTACTTCCACCCCAAAAAAAACCAAAAGTGGAAAACAGCTGCAGTGCACACGATTTGATGGAAGAGATATGACTTTATTACCAAAACGCTATCAATTGTTGCCCTTTTTGCTGCCGATTTCGTAGGCTATGATCGCCGCAATGAAGGGATTTAAGTCGTGCTTGAGTAAGTGGTTTCTATGTAGTTTTGAATGCTGTCATATTGTCAGGCAGGAAACTCTTAAAATACCCATCACGCACAAAACTATATCTATTTAAAGTAATGTAACAAACTCATTCTGAGGTACGTTCTTTTCCAACTGTTCCAAGTACTGGTTATTGCAATGTTTAAGGTATGCGAACTCCCTGTGGAAAACAGATTTCACAAGTGTCAGTGTAGCTTTGGAATCAGTCGTAGCCACAGTGAAAGCAGAACTCAATCGTAAACAAAAAATTTACTGTTCTTCACTATTCCCTCATCAATTTTACTGCCTACCAGTCCAACAGAGTTGATTTTTGAACCAGTAGCCATTTCATTTTAAGGCTTTAATTCTTGACACTAAGATACTTGCAATTCGGAAGGCGTGCGAACTGTTAATCCTGGGCCTTATTCATAGTTTGTTTGAAGTGTATTTGAAGTGGATTCTTGGAATAATCGATAGAGAGGTTTGTACGCTTTTAATCGAGAAGCCCACTTCTGATAGTAAGAATTAGTAAAAAGCCAAAATAAGGCATTTGTGATTCTGGCTGTAAAGAGACTAGACAATAGGCCCGTGAGTATAGACTCAGGACGTAGTGAAAAGGCATCAATGGACGTTCAATTGGTTGTCGTGACTCGTGTTTATTCAATCCTTTAATCCGGTCGCTCCACCTCCTACATAGGGTTCCCCTTTCTCGCAGCATGTCGCCAGCCGCGCGAATCCTCAACTCCCCTTCATTAGCACGAATATGTATCTTGGAGTATCCCCACACCTAGGTCTCGGTGTTAGCGCATGTATGACTCACACACCCGAGGTATAAATACACACACGCAAACCCCACACACGACAAAAGGCCACCAGTTTTGGTTGAGCTCTGAAGTAAGCGGTTGTGTCCACGCCCTCTTCGCTCTTATTCTTCATCGCGGGTATTAGACAAGCGTAATCGGGCCAGGGTTAATTCCGTGGCCTCGGCGTGGTTCAAGACCTCATGCTGGGGCCCACAACATGGGTATACCGTGTTCTTTGTAAATGTTGCTTAAAAAGGATATTTAGGTACCCTTCAGATCCTTTGTGGCGCATTCCTGTGAATGAAATTGTGTTTAACCTTGTTGAAACTACGACATCTATCATGGCAGACGGAGGAAAAACCCCCAGTGCAGATAATAGAACCTTCTTTGTTAGCACATGATAATCTTCCCACACTACCGCCTCGTTTAGTGGGCCTTTACCGCCTCAGCCAAAGGCCGAGCGCACGTTTACACGCGCCCAATCCTATGTGGCGCGGACGACCTTGAGTGGGGCTGAAAGGTGAATGAACCAATAGGAGGAAGGAGGGAAATATGAATACGAAATTTCGTGTTCATTAACACGAATAAAAATGAAAAATAGTTATTTGTGAAAATTATGAAAGATATACCCTTGGAAATGCTGAATCCCCAACGACTTTGCATGAAGTTGAAGAGTGAAACATGCCACACACCATCTGCCATGAGATCAACTTGGTACCCATTTTACATCTATAGATATTTCTACCAACTCGTTAATTTTCATAACTTTTTCTGGCTTAGGGTATTTCGGGGTGGGACTTATTAACGTGAACTTGTCGACCTTGAATGACATAATCAACAGCAGCATATTTCCACTTTAAAGATTGACTTTTTCGCAAAGGCCAGATGTCAAGTGCAATTCGACAGCGACGGCATTCTGTTCGTCAACCGCAAGGACGGTCGGGCAACCGGTGACGCGTTTGTCATGTTCGCGACTGACTCCGAGGCTGAACGAGCCCTCAAGAATCACCGCCAGAATATTGGAAATCGATACATTGAATTGTTTAGGTCAACACCGGCTGAAGTCAATCAGGTGAGGTTTTAGTCTTTAGTCCTTTTCAGTTCACTGAGATTTGTACCTGCACTTATCAAAACAGCCTGTTATATCCACTTAACCAAAAAAGATGTAAAACCATATGCTTCTGATGAAAGGTTAGCTTGGTTTGTTTGTGTGAAATGCTGAGACCGATGCAGTTGTTTATGCGTGTGTTCACCCCACCTTTTGCACTCATTCAGTGATACTCTCACTTACCGGATAAACAAACGATTAATTCTTTTTGCTCAATTGAGTTAATTGTTTGTTTTCAACCAACTTTATTTGTGCTTTAGTTCAAACACTCAACCCGCAACTCCAGCTTGTATCACATTCGACTTAGTACTTAAAGCATAGTAACTCATAATTGCTTGCAAAAACGACATGTATTGATTAATTAAAATTCAAGCGTATTGATCGAGTTTCATCGATTACCGATTGCAGTTGACGTTCGAGATGCACTCACGCGCTGTACTGCGAAGGACTTGGGTGGTCAAGTGTAAATAGAAAGCGTTGTATTTGCCATAATTTGTCTTGGCTTTTGTCTCGGGTTGTTACGGGCTGTTAACTAGCAGGGTTGTAAGTGCCACAGGGGGCCAATGTGACGGTTTCTATTAGAGCTTTACAAGCAGAAGTTACAAGAGCGATCTAGATTAGCTGCAACTACGGATAATCTGTATTTGGGGGAGTCTGTATTTTCATTACTGGCATGTGTAGGTGATGAATGCTGTCCTCAGCCAGTCATCTGGCAGTTCTCCTCAAATCTGGCCCCTTGCATTCGACAATTATGCTAGCCATCAGAAGGTTTCGGATACGCTTGAAATTCAGAGTCCGTCACTTTACTGCGAAAGCACAAAGAGGCCTCTGATACCGAATTCCGCCTTCTCGTTTTCCCACATCTCCATGTTGAACATGCTCCCCTTTACCGTGGCACTTCGTGACTCGGAGACGAGCGCCTTGCCTTTGACCCTCTCTGGAATGACTACTCCGCTGCCAAGCACGTCCAACTATCTCATGCGAATAAAGGGAATGCCGCTGGGAACGACGGTATACGACATTCTAAACTTCCTGGGCATCTACTGGCAGGCCGTAGCGTTACATGGAATTCATCTGATCTACACTCCCGAGGTAGGATTTCATATTCACAGCATCTGGGTTATGTATTATTTGCAGTCAATTATGGTAGGAAAAGATGCCAGGAGAGGCGTTTAGTAGAAAAAAAACACACCATTACTTGTTGGTGCGCAGAATGTGGGAACGGTAGTTACAATAGGTATAGTCCGGGTTCAGCAGAAAGGAAGGGCTGGTATTAGTGTAAAGTAATTCAAAACACCGGTCAATTGCAGTGTACTTCATTTCAGTTTGAAAATCCGTTTCCTCCTTCTAATGACGTGATAACATTGGATATCGACTTTTTGAAGGTGGACTAAAATTCAGGCAAACTGTAAGAAGTTTTGGTTTTTTTAGTGTTACAACTTACAATGGTTTAATCAATTAATCGCACGCTTATTTGGTACTTGTGAATTTCCATACCCTAAATGTGCATCCAGTGAATATTTGAGAGTAGAATGAACTACTGTCAGATCTTAATCATCTCACTAAGTTACGAGTGGCTGATCAAGGAGTCTCTACGACTGCTTTTTAACCAGTCGACCAGATTCACGGCGAAGTGTTTGGCGGGCGAATCTTGCCTCAACTCTAAATGTTGCTTAATAGAACTTTTGCCCGTGCAATTTCAGGGTGCGCCTTCCGGCGAAGCATTTGTGCGGTTTGTCTCTGAGCAGGCAGTCCAGTTGGTTGTGGCCAGCAAACAAGGTCACCCAATCATGTGCGCGACCACCGGGGCCCAAACCTGCGTTCAACTCTCACAGGCTACCCCAGCGGAGACAGTTGATTTCGTCAGCATTCCCGGTTCACAGCCAGCCGTTAACTGGACCACCACGGCGGCCTTCAGCGCAGTACCCCACGCCTGTCAGTTCCTCCCCAGTGGACTTGCGGCACCCCTGATAATGCAACTTGGAGGTCTCTCTCCGTTTCTCACAGCAACCACTGTCACCACCACAACTGGTGGCGGCTTCAAAGCCAACCCGCGACCGACGTCGTCAATGTTGAACATCGATTCTGATCTCTTTTGCCCGTAGGAGGAGATACAAGCAGGTGGGAGTGTTATAGTGGATTAGAGGTGCTGCCGAAATAAACAGCCCACCGGACCAGTCGTTACAATCTATTCCATTTGAAACCAAACGATTTCAATCATGTGATTCTGCTCAAAGTTGCCTTGTGGTCTAAGAGTAAAGTTACTGTCATGCAATTATGGGGCACATCTACTTAAATAGTTCTAACCGCACAAGCAAAACCGTGAGTAAAACCAAAGGCTAACTTAATTGCTAGGCATGAGGTGAGCGTCTAGGTTGAAACTAGGTTAACACATTTACTTTAAAATTCTGAATTTCACTTTATTTTCAGGCTACCAATCACATGATGATGATTGAAAATCAACTCGTACGCGAAAAAGTACTATAGATATACTTATCTGTATCGTATTATCAATGTATTACTTATTATATAATTGATAAAATTCTTTAATATTTTGTGATTTCGGACAATTTGTTAATGCTGCTCATTAAGTTACTTGTTCATGCACTATTATCTTGTAAATATTTTGGCTGTGTTAGTATAATCCCGTCAATCGTGAATGCAATAGTAAGATTACTAAACTTTTGCAGTTCAGAGTAGCAATTTAGGAAGAATTTCAAATTCCTAAATTCCGCATTAAGCGACGTATAAAAAAAACAACTCAAGATTTCGGGAAGTGCAATTCATATTTACAATGCTGCCCAGGAAAAGAAATATGGAAAAAGCAAAAAGTAATTTAAAAGAGTTGAGCATAATGAAATTTAACAGAACCGGAAATAAAAGACCAACATCAAAAAACGGTAAAGCAAAATCAAATGTACAGAAAAAATAATGCCGGTGCATGAATAAAAAATTACAATGACATAATGATAGGTATCGCGAGGATTGCAGATGAGGGCACCAATGAGCAAAGAGACGTGGAACGAGTAACGACCAGTGAGAGACGTCGACAAAACTGCCAAAGCCTGATGACTACGAAAAAAATTCCCTCCGCCGCACCAGCAGCAGCTACCGCTCCATCCTCTCCACTCCTTTCGCCCTTCGTGCCTACCATTATGTACTTTGACGTGACTGCTAGTACTACCGCTAGAAGTAGTAACAGTAGTAGTAGTAGCAGCAGCAGCAGTAGCAGTGGTACCAGCAGCATGAATGTGTAGCGGGATGGGTGAATGGGTGGATGGGTGGTGTAATTGGCGCACTGAGTGCACTCGAATGACCAGTGCATGGGGGAAGAGACAG